TTCTATTCATTTGTGCATAAATGATTGGCAAATTGCGATTATATTACTGACATCACGCTTTACGGACTTCAACTTTTGTAGTTTTGTCAGTAATTTTATTGCTATTTTGAGAGTCCTCTTCAGATTTGGGAGGGTACTTTTTATCAGAGACTGGCGACTTTTTGCGAAGGTGAGTAGTGGGTTGATGCAAATTCATTCTAACTTTTCGATTGATAGATATTTAGAGAATGTTTATTGGGATTATTTTCAGGCTGTTGGTCAAAATTGAGTGAGATTATGTGCAGTATTTGTGCTGAGAGGGGTGAGTACATCTGTGGCATCAGAAAGGCAGTTCTTCTGAGAGAACTGGCTGAAGAGTTGAAATCAAACGAACGATCTCGTGCGATTCTTTCAGAAATCTCTCAGCGATTTGACGTTCACTTCTAACGGTATGTACGAATGCAATATTTGTTTTGATTGTTCCCAACGTAAACGATTTCGGAGTTTTCCAATTTATTCAATTTTCTTTATCCTCTTCTCGGCTATTCGTTATACAAATGATTATTTATTGCTCAAATGATGTTTGGTTCATTATTTTGTCATGATTTGAATATTTATCCGACAAAAAGAACCACATTCCGGCAGTCTTTTGATGCAAATCATTGAATTTTGTTGGAAGTGAATTTTGTTGGAAGTCATAATGAATATTTTCATTTTCAGAGAGGTTCTTATTATTACCTCATTATATTAATCGTAAGGGTCGTTTTTCAACGGGTTGTTTTCGGAATTTGATTGAGATTGGTGGTACGCAATCATTTGGGATGCTTCCATCAGTCACTAAATCAGATGATTTCATTTGGTGTTCTCTTGGACTTATTTTTTCTTCTGAGCGTCCAATATCATATATTTATAAATAATATCACTGTGTCGTCATGATCATCAGTTGTATTGTCAGCATCTTTTACTGCCTTTGAACTGCACGGAGCAACGAACTGCTCAGAGTGTCATTGTAACGGTAAATCAGAACTATTCTTACATGCCTGAATGTTATTTTATTGAAAGTTTTGAGGTATTATTGTTGGATCATTAATTGCTCAATTTGATCTCGATCAGTTTATTTTTGAAAAGGTTTCGTTTCATACGCATAGATATGTATGTATGCATATTTTTATTTGCCCGTTTTTGCACTGTTTGATGCTCATTCTGATGTACTGTTGTTTGTGTTCTTTATGACTGTTATTGTTATTGTTGCTGTTGTTGTTGATGATAATGAATGTAAATGCAACAGTGATCTTCAAGGGTTTTTTGCAATGTTTTAGTTTTGAAATTTGTTTGAAATAAAGCAATTTTCGTGCATTTCGATTGAAGTAATAGTGCGGTGTGTAGTAATTAAGTTTGTGCATTTGTTCTTGGAAACAGCAACCATTGTGTGGTTGTATTGAATTTGTGGCGATTTTTGATATCTTAGAGTATGGTTTATCTGTTTAGGAAATTGAAAATTGAGAATTTGATAGAAAGATTACCACGAGGATTTTGGCATGGGTTAGCAATTTTTTGCTAATGGAGGGTATTCGATGCAACTTCTCGAGAAACAGATGGGAATGGTAGTGAAAGCCTTCATTTTCAATGGGAATGAAAAGGACTAGCTGCGAAATGCGTTGGAGTTGAATGATGGCACTTAAATCATCGCGCCTAACTCATCAACTGAGAAATGAGTTTTTTGTTATTGATGTAGTTGGTGATTCAAAAACTGATCCGAATAAACAACGATCTAATGAATGATTTCTAATTGTGTTGATCTCATCGCATAGATGTGGATTTGCATAATGCGAGCGATATTCCCATTCGATCGCTTTGTTGTTTAATGATTTTTAAGGTGAAACATCTTCCGTAAACAGTTAGCAAAAGAGCATTATAGTAAATGATTCATAGTTCANTCGCCGTCGAAATGACTGTTCCTGTGAAACTGTTATTGTTTGGAAGGGCACGAGAGTTGGCTAATATCTCAGAGATGCAATTGGATTTGCCAACAACAATGACCAAAAAGCGATTGTATGAAATAATCTTTGACGAGGTGAGTGACGCGATTCGATGTGACTGAGTGGGTGTTTGCTTGGTAAAGACATTTGCCATTCTGTTGATTGTGTCGATAGATATTAGTACTTTAAATAGAAAAACTAATTTATTACCGCTAAGTCCCATCTCTTGGCCGTTAAAAGATTATCGACGAGTCATTTGGAAATGAGCAAAAATGATTTGGCAAAGAAGCGTTCGTCTCATTCATCAATAGTCAACAACGCACAAATCAGTTTGCGCATGCGTTCGAACTGTTCTCATCAATAAAAATTGATTCATTTCAGACATTAAAAGAACTGGCATGCCTTCGAGAATCATGCCTTCTGGCTGTCAATCAAGAGTATTTGAACGACGAAGGAACAATTCCGATTCAATCGAATTCAGAAATCGCTGTGATACCTCCACTGAGTGGAGGCTGAAACTGATTTTATGTGATATAATTTGGTGTTTCATAAGATAAGACCATATAGCTTGCCGTATTGCACAAAATACATCATGATTCATGGAAAGGGGGACGGACGTGTATTGTTTGATTGCCTGTGATAATAAAGTAGTAACTGTATAATAAGTTATTCGCAACATTTTACATATATGTTGGATAAATCCCTGTTTATTGATGAAACGTGAAGCAGTTTTTTTTTTGTAGCATGAAAATCATTCATGTTTATTCCATAATCGGTGTGCAAATGTACAAAATAACGGCGAATTACAAATATTATAGCGCATCGTTACAAGACGGCAATCGATGGAAGATTATTGTCCATTTGTACAACAGCTTCAAAATTTCAACCGAACACATCAGCCAAATGTCAAACATTTTCGGTCCCTTTTTACACCAGTTTCACTAAATTTCTTGCAATCAGATTAACGTAGCCACTCAACGGAGTTGAATAGGTTTTGGAGAGATTGAGATTCACCATATTTTATGTTTAGTTGAGAGGTGACAAAGCATTTTAGACGAAAGTGTTTTCCAAATGACGATGTGAACGAACGTCCTTATAAGGAACGATCGTGATTGATGGTCACTGCAGTCAGAGACGTCAAATTGCATCGACAATCCATTCGTAATAATCGAAAGCAATGCAAGCAAATGTTAATATACAATTACATTCGTTTACTGTAAATGATGAATTCAAGCGGAACGAATAATAATAATAATAATAATAATCATATTAATGGCGATAAAAATAAGACCCAGTGACAATAAAAAATACATGGTAATGAATATGGAGATGTAAGAAGGACATCAAAATAATCATTAAGTCATGGAGTTAAACGCGTTGTTTGCGTAAGATATTCGAATGAAATGCTATCCTCAATTTCAACAAAATTCATTCAGATATTTGGAGAATTTGTGAAGATTTCTGAATGTTCTTATTGTCAGTGTATTATCAACCAAATCAGCACAGTTCTATTAACACCTCAATGATTTACTCATATTGTGCACTTATCGACCGTTAATTCAGACTACATTGCAAGCTAATGTTTTGCATTGAGTTCTCATTATTCTTGACCACCATCGAAAACCGCTAACGCATGATTACTCTCTGACGAATTGTTGCTGTAAGAAATCATTTCACAAATTCCACCAAAGTGCTAAAATTCACTCAGATGATGCATATTTGCGTGGACGTGTATATGTATACATGAACGTGGTCACGTTAACCTGTCCACTCGAATTGATCAAATATTCTGCCACATTCGAATGAAGTGATGGTTTGTCACTTGACTCTCATTCGACGGGTTTGCTTGAGCCAGTAAAGCATTCGCCTCGTGTTCACTTATCTTAACGCCAACCGATTGCGACCATACGTCTTGCAATGATTCGGTACTTAGCTGAAAATAGTGAGAGGCATTAATTGGCAATCGCTCCAATGACATGGCAACACTACAATCCCCTACATTCTCTATTGAGATAACGCGAATATAATGCGTAATATCAACAACAATATCGTTAATATAAATAAGAATAATAATGATGATATTAGCTATAGTAATCATCGTTTTCCCCCGAAAACGAAGTTATTGTCTTCATCACTCCCATTGTCATGCATCATCCCAACTTCGAGCTGAACTCCCTTGAGATCAGTCACATCAAATTGCCGTTGTTGTTGATGGTGATTGAGGTCTACGTCTATCGGCCTAGATCCATCTATCAAATTCGTCAGTAAGCACCCCAAAATTACGGCGCGCACTGAGTGGTTAACAGAAGACTTCTTAACAGAAGACTTACTCAAATCAATCATCTTTATCCACTTTGAGATATTTAAATTAGATGTATTGCGATCAACAAAANAAAAGTATGCAATATCTATCTATCATCGTTATGCTGGCTGTCAGTATGCGAATCGTTCAAAAAACAACACCCACTCCAATCCGAAATCATGCCCTAGTGACGCATTTCGTTGAATACATACATTATGAGATCCTCTCTATTTCATTTCGGAATGTTTATCTTCTATGATTGTCCATAGTCAAACAAATATCCTAAAGTGCATGATCATCATATTGCGTTGGTTTTGGATGAACTTTGAACATTCTAGAATCGCTATGATGTCGCTTTATGAGTAACAGAAAAGGAATTGTGAGTCGCAATATATTGTCGTAATTCGCATTTTGAAATGAGCTCTTAGAGTTCTTAGAGTCATCATGAGATTTAGTTTGGGCATGCTCTTTGATCAAATCAGATCGTTGGAGTGACTTAGAGTGCGATTGAATTACGTGAAATATTTCATATTCACATTCCATCGCAACTTGAAACAAGATACTTTACGTCAGTTTTCGAAAAGAATTACTCGAAAGTCTGTTCACGTCATGTTCGGAATTCGGACCAAACCCATCCTTAGGGCCTCATGAAGTTTCTCTCTTGGGCAATGATTTATTACAATAAGTGGTTCAGGATCTCTTCTACGGTGTCGCTCTAAACCTTTGTGATAAACAAAAGGAGAAAGAAACTCGGTACCTATCACAACTGACTGAAGAAAAGCAAATGGATCTGAAATTTTGAATGCTATCATCATCATAATCACCCTAAATCCAGGAAATGCTCCAGCTTCGATGTGGATATCGGCCTAAAGCTCAGATGAGACGATATAAACTCCAGTCTGGGCATGAGACGAGCCTCAGTATATATCAACCTCGGAAGTAGCTCCAGGTGAAGAAAAAGAAAGATAAGCCTCAGAGAAAGGACTCTCAAAACTGCTTGTGATTCCGATCAGCAACGACTCGCAATGGTAATTGAACGAAAAACCAGTTCAGCAGAAATATATTTTCCCAAATTCGAAATATTATCAAAAATCAGACATTACTAAATAATTACCATTGTTATAAAGAACGACTTATGGCAACAACAAATGCAAGATTTTTTCAGTGAAATGAATTTGAAATGTCTCCTCACTCTCTCACACACAACCAATATTCACTCAGCAATACACTGCATGGAGTAAATACCCACTCCAGATTGGGTTTAAGTTTAGGCTTGAGGCCTTTAGGCGCAAAAATCGATGATAGCCGCGTTCTTTACATCAATCACATGGGTTTAATCTATTGTGTGATGTTCCCGATGCACGAAGAGATACAAAGTTTTCAAGATAATTTACACAGATTACGATATGTTCATTCTGGTAATGTCTGCAAGTCATCATTCCTTTTTTTCTACAATCGACTCATTTTCTCGCCCGTTGAAGCTTCTGAAAACCACTCGCATTCGTGCGACTAGGGTTTATGTCATGGGGACACCGCGTGATTGCACCCCTTCGAACTCCACTTTGCTTAATTCGACACTGACTCTCATTGCTATAAGTTAGAACACTTGAGTTGTCGTGTAGTGAGTTGAAAGGTGATGAAAGTGTTTATGGGATACTGAAGGAATAATGTACTAATGGAATATGGTGAAGGACGGGTGCGCTGAGGGAATAAATATGGCAAGGGTGGTACGAAGGTAAATGATGTAAGATAGGCCTTGAATGAGAGGCTGTAAAGGTTCTAAATATGACATGTGGTATTTGAATTAAAATACGAAAATGAAGGTGGTGAACATGGTCAATAATGAACGTGATCAATGTTATAGGGTAAGATAGCAACTGTCGCATAGATTTTATGAATTCATGGAATTTGTCAACTTTTGAAGCGAAAGCACGAAGTCGATGACACAGTGTTATATAATCTCATTGCAAATCAAATAATCACATAAACAACGAACGTATTGTTCATTTCGCTCTTCCAACATCTTCGTCACATGAGGCATACTGTCTTTATACTTCTTCAGCTGCAATCAAGCCACAATGTTTTGCAATATCCAATCGAAGTTTCACCAGTTTCTAATTACTTTCGGAAATAACATTATCTTCAACATTTGTTGATTGCGAGTACAAAGTTATTCTTTTCTGAAGTTTCAGTTTTGTTGAAGGATAGCTCGTCACCAGAATTTCAGAGAATGCGTGAAAACTCAAGGAGGGATGTCATTTGAAAACGGAGGGATCTCATGCACATAAACTACCCGATTCAAGATGAACATTTAAAGACTCCCCGTTTGCAATAAACCCTTCGAGTTCTGTCCATGTAACGCTGGATTACTTTGCACACTAGAAAACTGCTTGTGAACAAATCAGCCTTTGTAAGCAAGGATTTTATTGCGCGGGCATTATTTTACTGCTTATTTTGAGCATTGCCTTCATAATTTCCATCGATTTCCCTCGAATGAGCTTTATGGTGTGATTCTGTGTCCATTGCTCGTTTTTTGTCTTCATTCAAGTTGCTATTGTTTATGGTCATAATAAAAAACACTTTATGACGGTCATTAAATATTACTAGTTGTGCAGTCAGCATTGAAAAGAGATGAGTTTTAATTGAAAAGTCATCCAATCCAGAACTGCGTATACGATATTCATAAAATGCTCATATTCTACATTCTGCACAAACATTCTCCATTATCTTTGGAAAAAACTTTAATTTTGTAACCAAATCAGCCTCACTTCTACTTTTGTTAATATTTTATTAGTTTTACTACTTATAACTCTACTGCTGTTTTGAGTCATCAAATTGTTTTGCACTACTGCTTTTATGACCAATGCTGTCATGCTGATTACCTACAATCTTTGACATTATAATGATCATACATAATCATCGGTAATTTTGCTCCCAAAACGATCGCGCTAGAACATTCAGTTTTTTTAAAAAAACCAGCGCTCAATTCTGAGATTTTGTGAACTTTCTCCCAGTTTCTTCATCTTTAGTAAAGATTTACAGAACTGTGTAATATGTGACGTTTTAATAAATTGTAATCATTCAACTTTGCACATATTCCGAGTAATTATGAATGTAGAAAGCCTGACTTGTTCACATGCACGTATCTGTATGCATCATATTTCATGAGAATCGAGTCAGCATCAAAAATTAATTATAAGACAGTAGTTAAAGGGGAGATACCATTGAGCAGCAAGTAGTTATAATGAAATGAGGTTCGCTAATTGATTTAACTGATCGTTTTGCTGATTCATTTACGATATTCTTTTTCAATAACCGAAATAAGGTGAATTCAAAGCAGAACAAACCTTTGACTTTGACAAAGCAACTGCTAAAAATTCTTCAAAAGTGATTTCGCCATCACCATTTTTATCCGATGAACGCATTACAGCCTGAAATTCTAATTTTTTTCAAACAACGAACGTAGTTTTTTTCTAAACCAAATGATATTTTCGTGGCCCTGTGGAATTTTTTGATAGTTGACAGAGAGTAAGTATGCGAGGAACGATAATGGCAGTTGGTGCGATGAGAAATTAATAAGGATGAGGCGAAATATAGCAATAATACTGATAGTATTTAATGGAAGGATAAAGATGATAGTAGTGTGTGGGTTCGAGCGTGTACCTGAACAATTTTTGGAGATACATCACATCCAAAATTACTGAGGACATGTGCGATCTCTGGCGCCGTAATGCTGCCACTTCGGTCGTCGTCGATCTTCATGAATAGCGAGTAGACCTGCAAACTGACACGATTGATTGATACCTCTGCAACCTCGTCATAGTCAATGATGAATTTTGGAAGGAGTTTGAAAGAAATGAACCAAGAGGTTGAATTGCATTTTGCAGGTTCGTCACATAAAAATAGCAGCAAAACGTTTCTATTTTCGCATAAAATGATGAACACATCTACTGAGCTCTTTGAGTGCTGAATTTTTCACTAAACTCGAAGGATTAGCAAACTAACTGAAGACTCTCACAAAATTAGTTTCTCTAAGTCTTCAGTTAAGTTCATAATTAGAATCAAAAACGCTTGATATTAACCTAATATAAGTATACAATTTCATTATTGTACTCTGTCTAGCCTAAGTTCACCGCCGAATGAGAACTGTATTCCAGACTAAAAATGAGTGACAATTGTCCATTTCTTGCAATATCGTTAACTGCTAACAATAGGCAAGAATGTCATTTAAGAGAGGCATGAACCGGGATGTTTCGTGACAACAGGAAGGCATCTGCTCTTCCCTGTCTCTCAGTGAATCTAGCAAATACTCTCAGTCACATCCCCCGATGTTAACACTCTCAAAATGCTAATATAATTTCAAGAACTATGCTCAATTTGATGTAGTATGTCGCATTACTATTATCAATTTAAAAGCACTTTGTTAATCACAAATTCAAAAACGTTTTTTTCCACAATCATCAAAAAGTTTCTACCGAAGTTGAAGGCGTATAGAGATCGACATGTTACCATTACGAAACTTTCATATGGAGGCAATCGTTTACGAGTGAAAACAATCAGAAAAAGTAGCAGTGGTGACGAACGACGAACTGTCAACGTCAATTGACTAATGACTGAGGCAGCTGAACTAATTGAATAATTCGCTAACATCGTAAACGTCTGCTTTGCTATTCGAAATGCATGAAAGTGGAGTAATAAAGCACGAAGTGTATCAGTACTTTCAACAACAACAGCTATAATTCTCAATTAATGATGAGTATTTGCAAAAGACGAGTTAAATGCATGTGCGTGCTCCCATGCAATGATACCATCACGTTTCAGTTTATTTTTAGTAAATCCAAAGGGTGCATTCGTAATCATCTTCATGAACGCTTCTAAGTTACATAGAACCAATGTTAAACTTTCAAAATTATCCAAGCCCCTTGGTCTCTGTAACTGAACATTTGTTATACTTAAACACTTCAATGCTCAAGAAAAGATTTCGTTATGCTCACAAGTAGGGCTGAAACAAGCGCATCCCATATGTAGGCGCCCCATTTGTACAAAAACTCAGCCATAGTACATGGATATGTTTCATAGTTTGACATATGCTTGAACGCTCTCTAATTGCATTCTGAGATCGTGAAATGAGATGAATGATGGCGAGTGTTTCGAATGAGTGCCATGTTTGTGGAGGAGTGATGTGCGTTACTCCGAGCTGATAAATTGAAAGTATTCGAAAGTTAATTACGAACTAAGAATTATCGAAAAACGCTTTTGAATTCAATTCGTTTGCGTGTATATTGAATGGAGAGTGGTTCATTTCGGATTTATTAGTTGCACTGTGTTCGATTGTTGACTCAATTATGACGTCGAGTTGGAATCACCTGCTCAATCTCTTTTTTGTCAACACCGAACGTTTCAGCGAGATGCTCGACATTGATCGGTTTGCTGCGCTTCTTGAATCGTTTGAAAATGCGTTTCTCGCAACCACCACCCTTATTGTGGTCCATGACGGCATCCCAGAACACCTGGTCTTTATCTGACATAATCGTTCAGGGCACAACGATCAACTTAATGTAGATTTTGTAACGCTAGCGAATTGAACGTCCGAATCGACTGACCGATTATTCGAGAATTCAGATTGGAAAGTGGAACCAATCCTGAAATGGTTAAGCAGATCATTATAAAACCACGTGAAATTCGAGCCGCTCAATCGTCGTTAAAAACTATGTTCATGATGATTGCTTAAGTTTGGGAGAAGACTTAAAATTAGTCGCAACCAAACTGAGTTTTTGCCAACGCGGGATTTTAGTACTGAGACAGAAGTTGGGCCTTATCCTGTTCGCTTCAGATCTTCTCAGAGGCGATCGAAACGGTCAGATGTCAAAATTTTCAGATTGCCTACGCCAAAACTAATCGCTCCTCATGCTAAATTGCTTAACTCAAACGTGTTGCGAGAAAGGCTTTCGCAGTCTCAAGTCATTCAAATGAAAATTTAACGTTCTATTATTGGAGTTCGTTACGTTAGTGGATTAGGATATGAGCATTCGAAGATATCGACGCAAACTGCCATTGAATGTTCAGCATAACCTAACAGCACCATTAAACTCGCGATACTGCAAGGACATTGCAACACAAATGAATGCATCAATTTGTTTTAGCAAGACAATTCGTGACAATTTGCAGTTCTTCGACTCTTAGTAAAAATTACGGCAGTGATAAATGAGACATTGAGACAATAGTCTGAAACCATTGTGCGTTCAAGAGTCTTTTAATGAGAGTGTTTCAAGCAAAAACTGCTACACTGGTCGAAGGATGAATGGACAAATGAGGAGAGTGTATCTCCACAATAAGAGTTGTCCTTTGTTCTTCGTTTCTTAAATCGAAAACGTTTTCGTTTTGCTTCGTTCAGGTCTCGTTGCCGTTGGAAATCGTCTTCGAAAAACATTGTCATTCATTTTTATTGGTTGCACACATGTTTGTTTCATTGAGTGCCGAACAGCTTGAAACATCAGTTGAAATGGCATATCTCTTCCAATTGATGGAATGATTCATGGAAGCAATCTCGTTAATTTTTCAATTTTTTTACTCAAGAGCTAATTGACATTTCAAAATAAGATGCCAATTTCAGCACAGTCTTTCGAGGAATACGCCAGTATTAGATGCGAACTGACTTCAGTTGCAAAATTTTCAAAGATATACAACAAAAAGAGATTTCTTCACATTAATAATGAATGATAACATAGGATGTAATGAAATGCTTTCATGTGAGGATGTAGTCAAAGTAATTTTCACGCATATTTGTGCAGATCATGTTTGGTGTTCAACAACTACCTCTAAGGGCTGGACACTTTCCTGGACAGTCATGAATACAGAAGTTGGCTATGATGAGAGGAAAAAATCAAAGTGATATTATCTGATAACAGAAGGGCATATGCTTCTAATTAGTTGTAATTGCTTACTTGCTATATGGATAATCGCATAAAATGTGTTGTCATCACATTCAAATGAAAAACATCTCTTAAATGATTTTATGTAGCCGAAGCAAATGAAACTGATGGTGAGAATGTAGGATGCATTAAACAGTTGATCATTTATTTACATGCTGAAGTAATAAAACCACCCTAAATTGAGCCGAATAATAAGACTGGAAAGTGTGGCAAGACGGAATAAACTGTTTTACGAGCGGATGAGTTATATTCTTACAAGCCACTAGCTTAGAGTGCACTTGTCTTGATGCTACACTTACTTTCATGTTTCACATTCATCTCTTTCGACAGTTATTTATTGACATACGACGGAAATGAGATACGAATAACAGAACGACGCACTCACAGACAGCAGCATTACTCTCAGATCGCCCACCCGACCAAGGTAGAAAATGGCACTAAAGAATTTCAGTAATCTGCTGGAACAGTTATGAAATAATTGGATCTGCATTGCAAAATACTGACAGATATATTCAAAGAATGATGCGCTGAATATTGACAAATTTTGCATTCACTAATAAACTGAAATAAGGGCAAACATCTGAGCACACTGAACAGAGCTCACAAATAATGGTAAATCTACTGAAATAGTGACGAGAATCGTGCGATATGGGCGAATTTTGGATGATTGAAATATTGTTGATATAACCAAGTGCATCCATCAAGGAATTCAAATGTGACAGCAGAATGAGATTTGATAAAAAGTGAAAAAAGGAATCGGTTGAGAGTGGATATGGATGGATGTTTATTCATTGAGGCATGTGCTGAATACATAAATGCCCGAGTACATGTTTTGATTCGACACAAATTTAGCGTTGCTGAACTGTGCGCACTCAACTGGTCGACGGTAGACGCTTATGATGCTTCTATTCGCTAGGGTACCGCAACGGTATCATTTAAGAGTGCTTTCGTAACTGCCCGTTATTTCAGACCCTTTGGGATTGCACAAGCTTGAAGTTTGGAACAATAAAATGATTTAGGAAGTCTGGAGAATGGGTTTTGTGATGAAGACTGGTCTGATATAATATGGCGATAGTCTCAGTCTTTTGGAATTTAAAGAATGAAAAAATCGTGCGCTTCGTCTCCTTATCCGATTGAACATTCACAGAAAGTCCCAAATAAAAAAAAATCAAACGTTTAAGCATTATCACATTAAACATTCGAACAGCTAATTGAAGAACGGACTGGGACCAAAGATAGAACAAGAGATTTTTTTTTCAGATTCACATATAATCAGTCACTGACGTGAAAGCCTTGAACGATAAGGCTATACATTAATATTTCATATTTCACTGATTGTGAGTACTTAACTTAGTGACGCACATTATCACAACATTTCAGGGCGAATGATCTGTTTAAGGGAAGTGAGAAGCATCGAAGGAAGTATGGAATGTTGCTTCCTGTATTACGTTCTTATGTGATATAAACTAAGACAAAAAAAATTGACTGGTGAAAACTAACAAAACGAAATGACTAGTAATGAGAATAAAAAGTGGGAAGTACGAAAGTGCGAATGATTGCAGCGAGGAGGTAAAGTCTGATTTTATTAGAGGCTTCACAAAGCGGATAGAAAGACGTGAAATGGAAAATGTGCTCGTTGATGTGCATTGTATCATCGCTAAAATAATGAAACTCTATAATTGAATAACACATTCCCATTCTCTTTTTACACTAGATCCGATACACGGCTATTGTTATTTGATATGAGACCGAGCAACGAACATCTTTAGTTGGTCGATAAATTTGGATACAGTAATTGCAAATCGATGAACATAACAAGGATAACAACTATCTAGGCAATTTCTGGTGTGAATCTAATTGGTAATGCTACTATATGGGGACGGTTTGCTGTGTTCAAAAAGAAATGCAACTAAAACAGCATGATTGCCTGCATTTCTCGACCCATAAACATTGAGTACAGCTCGAATATTATAGTAAAGTCCGAATATGTGATCTTTTTACGGTAAAATGGAGTTCCTTCGAAGGCTTCCTAATGAACAGACCTCATCAGCCAAGCACACAATTTCCCAGTAGAATAGAACTTTTAAAATCTGTTTTTTTTAAACTTTACAGAACTTTTTTTTCAGCGGAACTTTCAACTTTACGCGATAATCTGAGTCACTCATGAAGATTGTTCTCAGTCAAAGGTGATATCTGAATGAAATTCGGCATTTCAAAATAACGCATATCCGATGTAGTGTATGGGATCGAAGTGAATGATGTTCAGAACACGATTGTTACAATCATATAAGTTCAATAACACTCAATCACTAAATAGCTTCTTTCCTTCACATTTTCTTTCATTTTCCTCGTTCATTATGCGTATTTTCTTCCTTCCTTCCTTCCTTCATTGTCCGTATGCATCGAATGAATAAGTTACGTGAATCATCGAATGAACAAATGAATTCAGCAAATCCCTTAAGCACTGAATATTACATCGATGGGCAACAACAAGCGCAGATGATAATTAAACAAAAAATGAAGACGGACAGCTGTCAGCACAGAGAATATCCCGAAAAGTTGATTGAATTATCTGCAGACAATAACCTTTAACGTTCTATGCGTTCGCAAATTATGTTCTATTGGAGTTATTCCGAATGAGCCTTTTAAAGTGCATTATCTCTGTCTGTAATATGAGCTTATTGAGTGTGTTGTTATTGATTATTGTACATTTTACTCATTCGATTAATCACCCTTAGGGCACTTATAACTCCTAGTTGATTACGTGAACATCCACTAGGTTTCAATTTGACATCAGGTTTACGACTGAAATAACTGAAAATGATGAACATTGAATAAAATTGCTTAAAGAGCGTCAACAGTCATGATTATTTGGCATTCAGCTGCTATGCAATGATTGAATACGTTAGTGAACAAAGCATTCTCGTAGTAATCAAAGGATCATGCATTTATTGCTTGATTAAGGGCACCTTCAATGCTCCAGATCTGACCTAACGAATTCCAAACGAGCACCGCACCTGAGCTGAATTCAAACGAAGACTACATGTCTGCGGCAGCAACGCAGCACCATACGTGAGCATTATTATCTCGGTTATTTGGGTAAAATCCCATTTCGTATTCACCAGGAAATCGCCAATTTTCCAGTTGAACCCAACCTATCAATTACCCTCAACAAAACCAATCCCTCAGCAGATCTTAAGACTGGGACGGCCTTACTGCAAATTTGACAGAATAAACACAACTTTTGGATGAGCAAGCTCTGATACATCTCTATAGCTCTAGTTCGGACCTCTAAAATTCCTATAGAAATAGCAGCAATAAAACACTGTCGGTAAGCAGTAAACGACATCCAACCACATTATGTTTTTTAGTGAACTCACTAACATTCGATCTTGTGATCCAGCAGAGCTGCAACAACAATAACACTAGCAGAATAAGGCGGAAAAATTGCAATTAAATAAGACGACTGACAAATGCTAATTTAATAAGAAAACACTGAATAGTTGATGATAAATAATTAAGTTTATCCGTCTTTGAGTCTCTGTTTCATCGTCTCTCAGTCTATGTTTATACATGCATCCGTCTAACTATTCATA